TATCCATTCTGAAAAATCAGGGAATTTTTTTTTTTTTTTTTTTTTGCTCATGCACTGCAAGTTGTGTGACTCATATCTAAAAATGAAACTGTTTTATTTATTGCATGCATATAGACACTCTATATAGTATCTTTTGTTGGGTCCTTTATATCCCTAGTAAATGCAAATACAAGATTAACCACAAAGCAATACTGAAAGTGCTTCAAGTTCTAATAAAAGTGCTGTTTTTGCTACTCACTGGTGTGTAACACTTCACATTGAGTATCATTCTGCCTTTGATTCATGTAAAAATAAGGAGATACTTGCTTTTAAGCGATGATTCCACAGAAGCCTATTGGTCCGCTCAAGAAATAAAGTTAACTCCACGAGTAAACCCTGGCAGAATTGGTACTTGCTTTGTATTTTAAATACGTGTCTGTAAGTGTCCCAGAAAAGACCATAATTTAATAATCCTGACAGCTATTGCAGGATAACCCCTTACTCTTGCTGGATAAATATTTTAGTCTTGTATATGGAGTACTTTTTAAAAACGTATAGTAAAGTTTGCAGACCTGCTGGTAGACAAAGCAAAATCTTTCCATTCTTCTTATGTAGGAGTATTTTTACATAGAAGAAGTGCACGGGTTTTGTAGCACCCAATCGTTCAGCTTGTGCCATGCCTGCAAACTATCTAGCATGCAACTCTACTCCACAACTCCTAACAAATAAAATAATGTTTCAGAATAGCTGTATATTACTGTAGGGATTATTTTTAAAGATACTCAAGGTATCCTCTTACCATTCTTTCAGAAGACAAAAACGAATAGTTTTTCAAAATAAAGCACTTATTTTCATGGAGATGAATAATCAAATTACTATCTGTACTATGTATCATAGACTCTGGTGATGAGTCAGCTAATGAATGGCATTTTCTTTGGCATTGTGAAGCAGCAGTTATTTAAGAGTAGGAAATTAATTGCAGAGTTGTCAAATGATGGAATTATAATTGATGGTAATAATTTGCTTTGTTTTATAAGCTACATAGATGTATAATATATCCAGTGGCAACTTTTTCATGAAGTTATTAATGTCTTACACAACTGACTTCTGGTTGCCTTCATAAAATTCTATGATAAGTGAATGTATAATGTATTAGTCCTTTAAGAGCTGAAAGTTAAATATGCTGTAGTAAATAAGGCCTTTGCTTTGCTGATCAGATTTACAGAAGAGCAATATTCAAACGAAAGCAGGTTGACTGAACAAGAAAGCAAAAATCTGGTTGAAACACACCACTTGATATGATGCATCAGCATAATTTCATGTATTTTTAAGAGAGTTTTTAAGATAAGAATTCATCAGACCATAACAAAAGGTAAAAATGCAGAGCATTTTTTTGCAATACTTAATGTTAATACTTAACTAGTCTCTTCTGGTTTTGAAAGTAGGAGTTTTGAAGTACTATTAACATTTGGTATTTTCTAACAAAGACCTCAATTTTTTCTTAATAAAAGTAGAAAACATAGCTAAATGGAAACCCCTGTCAGACAGTCATGCACAGCTGGGTCCACAGTATTCATCTAGTTATCTGAGTTCCTCCTGCAGCGAGTGGAATGAGATTAGCATCTTCAGAGGATGATCATTCCTGATAGCTCAAGATGTATCTCTTAGGACAGGACAAATCATTCTGTGGAGATGCATCTCCCTTGACAACAGGGCAGAGACAAACAACAGGCCAAGTAGCTTAGACTAGACACCTCCATTTCAGATGGAGAGATGAATTCTGGCCTTCGAGGATGTGTTTTTCAAAGTTTCAGACTGACATTTTGGGCAGCTGGACAGGCAAGTTCCAATAAGGTCAAGTATTAATTACTAATTTGAACCTGCATCTCCACAGTTAAGTCTTATTTATAGAACACATACTGTTTCCCAAGTATGAGCACAGATTCAAATCAATCATGCTGAATAGTATGGGTACAAATTTTCTGTGAAAGACAGTAGCTGACGGTGTTCTTAGAATATACATCCACCCATACAAGTGCTGTCTGTATAAATAAGTGATTTTCGATAAGCTCTCACCACTGGAAGATGTAATGTCTACAGCTCCCAGTAGCTACAGTAAGAAAACTGTAGACAAGCTAGCTGCCTTTATGGTAGAGTACACGCCTTTATAACATAACGTATGCTTTCAAGACTGTTGCTGATAGTTACTATTACTTCTGCATTGGATAATGCTGTCAGAGGAGATGGGATAAAGAAAAACAACTGCATAAGTGTATTAGTTTAATTTAGCTAGTGCAGGTAAGAAGAGCAATGAATATTTGCTGGCTTAGGCTTTAGCATATGTAGGCAACCAGAGAAAAATAATTGCAGGATTACGCTGTTTGACTGCTAATTACAAGCTAACTCCCATGACACTGCCTTCTTACTGCTGTTCTTATTTGTGTTGGACAAACCCACTATGGATTTTACTGAAACCTCTGTTTTGCTGTGGAAACAATTCCCAGAGATGAAGTCACCCAAGAAGTGTGATCCACTCCAGTAGATCACAATCAGCTCATTCTTACTTCTCCTTCCATCCATATCTGTCCCCTCATTTTCACTGAAGTCTCCAATCCACGTTAAAGTCAGCACATCGCTGAGAAGAGGAACCTGGGGAACGGTCAGGGGAGAGAGCAGTACCTGTCCCTCACACTACTGGAAAACTATTAGATTGGCTCAAACAAAGTGCAGACAGGGCAGCAGCTTTTAAACAGCCCCAATATATCTTGAATGAGCTGCAGTGTTCTTTACACATCTGGAAGTCCCATCTAACATCCATAGGAAGCAGGATTTTTGTTCTTAAGGACTTTTTTTTGCCTAGTTAAGATGTTCTGCAAGTGGGCAGGCACTCGGAGCAAGCTAGAGAGCACTGGAGTGGTACCATCGCATGAAAAAAAATCTAGAAATAGCAAATTGCTTCAAAATATGCTGTGGTCCAAATGATACTGTAATTTCCAGGCTTTAACATTTAACTAGGTGTTAAAGGCTGTCAAGAGAGATCTCTACAATAATCTGGTTACCTTTTAGCCCCTAATTATCACTTTAGCAGGCAGAATAACCAAACTAATGCTTAAATATTTTGAGTGTAAGGGCTTTAAAACCGTATCAGATTATCATCAATATGTTTGGCACTGCTAATGTAGAAAGAAAGGCAGGCTTTGTAATGCCTGAATAAATAAATCAAGCATTTACTTGTCCCTCTAATACATACTTGAGTGTGTTTAATTCCCTACTCTTTGCATAAGCATCCTACTGTATTATAATGATTAAAAGAAAATCTTGGCTCTACCGAAGTCCTCAACTAAGGCACAAATCATTTGTGTCTCTATGCAAAACAGTTTTTAACGCTTCAGAGTCCATATCATTTAATGAGAAAGACCATCTTCCTTTCAGACAGCAGCAGTACAAACTACAGGAGAATTTACCAGAGTGCTGTTATTCAGGCACTGTCTACCTTGTTAAAATAAAAATGTAAAAATCTCCAAAAGGTTCATAGTGAAAATGGGGCCGTTTAACTTTACCATGTGGCGAAGTCATAAAAACCCATACCAGTTCTATTTCCTAAGCAGAAAAATTAAAAAATGTGCTGCAGGAAACCTCCAACCACTTTATGGCTGTGCATTGTAGTAGCCTCATCAATGTAAAGGCAGAAAGTCAGGGATCTTAATTATTTGGGGTTATGCACTTTTCACAAAATCAATAGCTAGAGACTTCCAAACAAGAGACCATAGTCCACAACACATGGAAAAAATAGATTCCTTCTTCTCTGCCCACCAAGTCACCCTTCAAAAACCCATTGACAGAGATTGTGAACACACAATGATTTCATCCGCTACATAAGAAGTAATATGAAAGCCAGAATACTATTTAGATAAACGAATACATATTGCAAGCTATACACACAGTTTGGAACAGAGATTTGCTGTTCCTAAAAGCCACTAAGAAAACTGAGTAAGATACAAGAAAATGGGAATCAAAGGGGGAGGCTGGAAATTCTGAAATACCAGCCTTCACCTACTACTGTAATTTCTTTAACTGCATATTCTATGTGAGTAGGAAACTTCCGATGACAGTAAAAGATTACTTATCAGAGAGATCAGTGTTGCAAATCCAACTTCTGATATTTTTAGAAGCAAGACTGTCAGATAGACAGCCTATGAGAGGCATCCGGCCAGCTGGAATAATTTAATCCAGCCTGCTGCAGAATTAGAGTAGTCTGAATTGTTAAATCAGAAACAGTGGCTCTGTCAGTGAGACCTTCTGTACACCTTTGACTTGCCTGTGTGGTTCCAAATAGCCACCTCAAAAATCCTGATGTTGGTATTGTTTACATATATATTAAAAAAAAAAGGCCACACAAACAAAATTTAAACAAACAAACAAACAAACAAACACACCCACAAAACCAACCAGAAAACCTCTACTGGAATAAAGTATTGTACACGTACTATGACTTCAGTTATGTTGGCAAAACAGAACAGGTCAGGGCAAATTAGTATGTTGGAAGAAATGTTAAGTACAGGCCAACTCTCTATTGTATTGCTTGTTACAAGCCATTTACATCTCCTTTTTTTTGATAAGGTTCCTATCTTATTCCCAAAAATTTCATCACCTCGAAGGTGAATGTGCACTTGTGCCTCCCATGTGACATTTGGCTCAGGACTCTGCCTCCTTTTCTAACCTATGGGTCAGTTCTGCACAAAAGCCCCTGGTTTCTCCACAGCTCCCCACACTCACCCAATATTTAGATTCCTCTCCCAGATCTGTTTTTCCGTTTCATTCTCTACTAGGAAGCCTCACTGATGTGAGGATTTGTGAGTCTAGCATGGCTCTTCATCAAATTGTGCTAGCA